GGCGCACGATGCGGTTGGGAACTGTAAGGCAGGGTGGCCCTTGGCCCCTTCGGACCCTCTCCCCTGCCGCGTCGCCTCGCCGCCTCGGCTCCGCCGCTCCGTCCTCTGGGGGGTCGGGTCGTCCCGGCACCGCTGCTCTGTGTCTGCAGTTGCGACCCTTCAGGACCCGTGCCCATTCTGCTCGCGCTGCTTCAGAACGACCCGGAATCCCCTTCGTGGAGCAGCCTCGCCCTATTTGGAGGTATCGCGCCCTGGCGCGCTGGAGTGCAAGTCGTGCAGGAATGGCCAGAACGTGTTCTTCAAGGCATGTGTCGATGCCGTGAAGTCCTGTCGAACCGAAGTGCGCTGGTATGGCCATGTGTCGGGGATATAGACCGATCCACGGTCGTGCCTCGCACGTCGGATCGTACGTGGCGCTCGGTGTTCGGTCGAAAGGGATGGAGCAAGGCCGCGCTCAAGGAGTCGCTCAAGGGTGTCGCCTTCAACAAGATATACCAGCTGCTCATTTTCATCCGCGAAGACATGCTGAACGGCGATGTGGCGGTGTCCAGCGGCGGGTTGGGGCTATCCTTGGATAGCGCACCCGCCGCCGCCGCAGCAGCTGCGACATCATCGGCCGCGGCAGGCCATCACCAGTGAGCAGTGGAAACACCAGTGAACCATGATTGTCGTTGGGACCACCACCCACCCCTAGCCCCTAGTCGCACGCGGGGTTGGATTTGGGCAGGGGAAGGTGGAGTTGGGAGGGGGCGTCCGTCGCCTGTGACTGACGCTGCTGTGTGAGTGCGTGAGGGCCCTGGGCCTGGCTAGCTTGTTCGGTGGTCCCGGGACTCGTGGACCCACCATCCATCCGCGCTCCTTTAAGGCCCTCGCGGTCTCAGCGTGGCGGCGGGCACCACGCACAGCATCGAAGCCAAGCTGGTCTGCGGTACGTTCTGGCCCCTCTCGGTATACAAGAAGGATGGCAACGCGGCCCCGCCGAAGTCGAAGCTGTTCTATGCGGAGGTTCATGGCGACCGCGTCCTCGGCTTGATCAGGGACCCTCGCATCCCTGCGGCGGCTGGCTGCTTCAAACTCAGCGCGCGGGATATGAAGCAGCTCAAGAAGTATGAGGAGGTCGAGACGGAGGCGACCGCGCTGGGCCGGCAGCAGGTGGGACCGCGCACCGGGTAAATGCAACGGCGAGGTTGCGATGGTTGGTGCGCATTGCGCATTGATGAGGAGGTTGGGGAGATCTGAGGTCATGAGATCATGAGGGGATGCCGGGATGATGTGATAGGGCCCTAGGCGGCCCCAGGGCCGCGCCCCCTCCCCCTCCACAGGCCTCGCACGCCCCCCCCCCTCCTCCTCCCACCCCTCCCCCCGCTCCCCATTTCCCATTTCTCGTCTTCCTCCTCCTCCTCCTCCTCCTCCTCTTCGCCCTCCCTTCCTCTCCGCCGCCCCCCTCCCACCCCCAGGTAGAGACCGTCTACAGTGAGATTCGCGACCGCATGGGGCTGACGGTTTCAATGGCTGATGACGGAACTGTGAACGTGGCTTCAACAGGGGGCGGACGCCGTGATGATACCATTGGTCTTGATGCACTCGCCGATGTATGGGCGCCGGTAGTAGTGCCCGCTGCGGCTGGAGGAGCATCCCGGGCCACTGGAGGAGGAGGGGCCCGCAGGTCCGGCGTTGCTGCCGCTGCCGCTGCCGCTACGGCTACCGCAGCTGGCGCTGGCAGACCCAGATCCACCGCCGTCGCCAAAGCTGGCGCAAGCTCGACCAAGGAGCAGGCGGCCCGGGCACAGCTGATTGGTCACGGCCAGCAAACAGTCCTCAAGTGCCAACAGATGCTCACATCGCTCGAGTCACCCGACTTCGTGATGCTCCAGCAGACTAAGAAGATCCAGAAACTGATCGACGAGATCACGACGCGGACGTCTGGCAAGTGGCTTGAGGCGTACACTGCACGCGACGCCGATGGCTCAGGCACGATACGATGACGACGATGACCCGTCCCTCCCTCTCCCTGCCCTTTCTTACTGTCGCCCATCGGTCCTCGTTGTAGTTGTCGCCGTGGCAGCCGCAGCGCGTCCCCATCCCATCCGGGTGCGTCCGCCTGGGGCCAGGGGGGGATGACCAGAACGGGCGGATCTGTTCACCCGAAATCCCGATCGGAGCGTCTGTAGCGGCAGCACGAGCAGGCGCAGCTCAGGAACAGCAGCAGCAGCAGGGACAGGCGCAGCACTGTATCGCACAAATAGTCAGCAATGCAGCATGCGCACGATAGTCTCCTGGTCTGGCGAGTCTGGTGCTGCTTAGCTCACGTCTCCCACGTCATATCTCACATCCTCACCCACGCCCCGCCGCTCCAGCCATCCATCACCCCTCCTTCTCATATCATGTCGAATCCCGAAAACCGCCCCACCCCCCCCACCCCCCGCGGCACAGTCAACTTTCGTGCCAGCGAGGGCGGCTGTTTAATCGAGTTGCTCACGACGCCTTCCCGTCACGGCGGAGTCCTACCCGTGCCCGCATTTCCCTGTCCTCAGCTCAGCTCCCCACTCTACCCTCCGACCCGAACCTCCCCTCTTTTTCTCTTCTCGTCGCTTCTCTCGCGCGCCTGCCCTGACGCTCGCCGTCCTCGGCCTCATCGTCCGACTCCTCCTTGGGGCTTCGTCTTCGAGTCTTCCTCCTCCTCGTCCTCCTCCCCACCGACCGTCCTCGCCTTCCTCCTCCTCGTCTTCCTCCTCCTCGTCCTCTTCCTCCGCCCCCCTCGACGGCCCGTAGTTGGGCCCGCCGTCTCGTCGGCGCTCGAGTCGACTGTCGTGCGTCCCGCTCCGCAGGCATGCAAGTGCTGGAGCATCTCAACGAGTACAAGGTCTCTCTCGGCGACTGGGTGGCCATTCGCCAGAAGATGTCAGAGGCTGAGGCCTGCCGCGGCTGCAACGGTGGAGGCGGCGATGTCACCAACGCGGCCAACGCCGCCGCAGCCCGGGCGTTCAAGGAGTTGGTCGACGCGCTGGTGAAGCGTGACAACTGCAATGTGCCCAGCACGGTCATACGGTTCGCCTGGACACATGGTACGACGCTGGCTGCATCCACTTTGGATTGGTCAGATTGGGCAGCCCACTTGTCCTTCACGCAGCGCTCGTGGACGGATGGTGAGCTGGTGGGTCGGCTCCGAACGGCCGTCGACAGCGCCACCAAGCGCGAGATGGTGTACGAGACGCTGATGGGCCTCTTCAGGGGCGACTCCCTGCAGGTGCTCATGGACGCGCTGGCCGCCTTGCGGGCTGCGATCGGCACCATCTTCACCGTCTCCGAGGAGTCGGACACGGACCCCGACCGCAAGTTCGTCACCGACATGCATAACCTCTTCACAGTGGCATTCGTCACCGAAGCTGCAGCTTCGGATCTCCCTGCGGTGCAGAAGCTCCGAGACGACATGGTGAATGTCGAGTCGGAGAGGGCGTCGATCTGGTTGAAGGCGCTCTGGGTTGTATGAGTTGTGTGTGGGGTTAGGCTAAGGGAAGCGCCGCATCTCCTCCACCTCGGGGATTGGCCCCTGGCTCGAAGCGCGACGTTTGTGTCAAGGGCGCTGAATCGCAGGGGGGTGAGCTGACCCATGGGACTCAATGACCTGGGCTCACATTGTTAAGCTGCCAGCACGAATTCTAGACGCTTCGCGTATCCCCACCCGCCACCAGCCCATCCAGGGGCAATGCCCAGGAGGGAGACAGGATGGTGAAACAACATGGGTACCACCACAGGGTTTGTTAATCTGATCTGTCCTGGCCCTTGTCGACGTGGCCCGCCTCAATTAACCGCCCGCGTTGAAGTTTAATATAGCAGTGCAACACGCGTTCCCTGTGGTACACGTCCCTGGCGCATATTCGAATAGCCTGCCGGTGTGCACGACTGAGCTTGCCCTTCGCCCTGCTTTGTTTCTTGAACTCGCGTGCGGCTACTGGTGCTTGTGCTGGTGATGTTGCTGGCGGTGCTCCTGCTGGGGCCATCTGGCGCAGTGGGCAGAAGAGGATGAGGAACGCTGGGTAAGAAGGATGAGCGGGAGGAGGAGGATACGGCACATGCATGTGGGGCGATGAGGGTGGTGCGGAGGAGGAGGAGGAGGAGGAGGGAAGAGGCAAGAAGAGGGGGTGGAAGAAACAGCCCGGTGGTAAGGATTTGGGCATTTGGGTTATATGTGTGGGGGTGATTGATGGGCTCTTCGAGGTCCTGGCGCCATGAGCCTTGGGGTACTCTCAGGGCCGCGTGGGGCCCTTATTGGGGCTCTGTTTTTTTTGTTGGCCTGGGGGGCCTATTTGGATCACCCCCCCACCCCTCGGAGGCTCCAAATTGCCAGCTTGGGACCCTCTTGGGCCGATCTTGGGGCGCTCCTGGGCGCGGCGCTCTCGGGATCCTCTTGATCCCGTCGTTGGGCTACCTTGGGCCATTTCTTGGGGCCGTCTTGAGTCTTGAGGCCTTAAGTGTCCATCGGAGGTCGGAGGCGAAAGAGCGAGAAGACAAAACGCGTTGATTACTGTCTCAAATTGTCCTCAGGTTTGCGGAGGAGTTTGACTTCTTGGGGTGTCTTTGGAAGCTTCGGAGGGCACTTGAACCCGTCTTGGAGCCGTTTTGAGTCTTGAGGCCTCCTGGGCGCGCGTCGGAGGTTGCCTTGACCAGCCTACCGCTATCTTGGGCCACCGCCATCTTGCGCTCTCGGAGGCCCTCTTGGATCGTGGAGCCATCATCATCTTGAGAGCCATCTCTGCCCCCCCCCCCCTGGCGGCCCAGCCCGTCCAGACGCCAGGAGGGAGGGGGGGGGGTCGGAAGGAGCATGACGGAGACTCCCTGGACCTCCTGCGCTGCGCCCTGAGGGCTGGCGTGGTTTTGGACGTCCGTGGTACGGCGACGTCGGCGACGTCGATTCAGGGAGCGGTTGCGATTCGGTCTGGTGGGTTCGTAGTATGATGCTGCTTTCGGGGGTTCAGTGATCTGTGATCCGCGGTCAGGCCATGCGCCACCTCCCGACTGGCCAGCAGCTGTGCGTGGCCGTTGACGAGGAGCCCGCCGCCGTCGCCTGCGTGGAGCGGCTTGCCAGCGACCTGGCTGACCTGGTCAAGCTGACCGACTGGGGGACCCCAGAACTGCTCAACAGCGACCCGGCGTGTGCGACGGATGCTCCAGTCATGTACTCGGAGCCCATGCTGAGACGGTTCTCTGAGGCGAAGTGCAAGCTGGCCGTACTTGAGACAAACGCGCCCCCGCGTTTCGAGGTTCAGTACGGGGCCCAACTTGAGTCGGTGCGCAAGGCTTTCAAGGACGTGGCCCATCGCACGTTCCTGGCGGCGAACGAGCGGTACTTCACCATGTTCGCGGGAGCATTGCGTCTCGCTGCAGATCGCCGCTGGGACGACGCGCACAGCAAGCTCAACGCCCTGAGGGCCGTCCTCAAGTGGGACATCGGTCAGCTCCACGGACCATTCCTCACTTCAGGCGACGCCCTCGAAGCGCTGGTGGACTGGAGGGCACAGCTAGCGGAGCCCATAAGTCAGTGGTATCAGGGCATCGCTTTGCTCGCGAGATTGTATGCAGGGAATGCTATGGACGACGATGCCGATACCGCCGACGTTGGCGACGTCATGACTAATAAGTTCGACGAGGTCATGGTGTTTGTCGACAGCGTGCTACTCACGGAGTGCCCTTGGGATAAGCCGTCTGGGCCCGATGCCAGCTTTCAGGCGGTAGCTCACACGGCACCTGTCCAGGCGGCGTGGTCCCCCGCTTGCATTGCGTGCACGCGTGGCATCATGGGATGTTGCAAGGTCTTACTGGAACAGTACACGCCCGCGCATGTCATTGCGACGGCACGCCGCCTCGACGCAGACGACGCGACGGCATGCCGCTGGGGCGAGGAACTCGACGCCGCGGCGGGCCTCAGTCGCAGCAAGGACGACGCTGATGCGCTCGCTGACACGTGTGCTCTCGTGGATTCGATATTGCAGCTCAGGCGCTGTTTCGGCTTCAACGGACTTTCTGAGAAGTGGCGCATCAAGCTCGCCGCCACCGCGGTCGGACTCGTCACCACTGGAGCCAACGTGCACCACAGTCAGCAGCCGCCAACATGCGACCCAGACCAGCAGCAGTCCACTGTCGCCAACGTAGCGCCAGAGGCGGCGGCAGCGGCGGCCGCCCCCCAGCCCGCTCAGACGGCAGCCCAGCCCGTTCAGGTCCAGGCGGCAGAGACGGCGACGCCATCACCTGAGACAGAGGGCGCCGTGCCCGCTCAGGCGTTAGCCGGGGGCGCCCAGCCCGTTCAGACTCAGGCGGCAGAGACGGAAACGCCATCCGGGACATCCAAGGACATCCAGCCCGTGCGAGCAGCAGCACCATCGCCTGGATGCGCCCGCACCGCCAGTGAGGCGGACCTGCCGACGCATGACGCGGCGCAGCAGTCGCAGCCCCCCCCGCAAGTTGCGCTGACGGGCAGCCAGCTGGCTCGCATCGCGGAGAATCGCGCAGAAGCTGCTGCCCGCCGCCGCGTCAAGCAGCGGAAGGGACCACCCGCCGTTCAGGCCGCGGCAGTGCACCCCGCCCCCGCTCCCGAGTCAGCCAGTGCAGCCGGTGCAGCGCCAGCGCGCCCAGGGCCCGCCGCCGCCAGTGACGCCAGCGTGGCCATTGCCGAGGCCGCCGTGGCGGCAGCAGCAGCCTGTGGTGCTGGTAGTGCTGGAGCGGAGGCCGAGGCGACAGCAGCAGTGGCAGCGCTCTCAGAACCCGCTGGCGGCGACCCTGGTACTGCCGGCGATGCTGCTGATACCCAGGCGATGGCACTGGGGACGTCGACGCCGCGCGACGGCGAGGAGGGCGATGGCCGCGATGGCGAGGGCGAGGCGTCGCTGCCCCTGGCCCAGACCCTCAACGCCGACGTGGTGATGCTGACGGCGCGGCTGTGCAAGTTCGCCGGCGGGCTGCATGAGGCGCGCGTTCGTTTCGATGCCGTCCCCTCCCTCGACCCTGCAGCTGCTGTTCGCGAGCGCCGACCCCGAGCATCGCATGGCCCTGGCGAACGATGTGCGCCTCGCTGTCGATGCCGCCGTCGCCCTCTACGAGGCGTCCGTGCAGGCTGGCCGCGACGCAGAGACCCTCTCGGAAGTGCCTCTGAGGGCCAGGATGGCCATCCACTGCTTTGGCTCGGCCGCGTACGAGGCAGGTGACCAGGTCTTAACCAATGCCTGGGAGCTGGGCCAGTCAGTTCTCAGGCTGGTACGCCGTCACCTGAGCGAGGCAGTGGCGCAGGTCGTGATCGGCGGCGGCGACGGCCCAGGAGACGGCACCACGCTGAACGACTTCCTCAGCGCCCAGACCGTCGTCGACACGAGGGACAAGGCGCGCGTCGGCTGCTCAGCCTCATCCCCTCCCATACGTCTCAGCCTCAGCTCAGCCTTGGCCTGGGCTGGGCCAAGGCCCGATGGTCAGCCTGGGGCTGGCGCTCCTCCTCCTCCTCAGCCGCCCCTCCCACCACCACCTCCCTCGTCCTTCTCCTCCTCCTCCTCCTCCTCCTCCTCCTCCTCCTCCTCCTCCTCTCTCTTCCGACTCTTCCTCCACCTCCTCCACATCCCGGCCTCCCGTCCATCTCTTCGCCACCACCCGTGGCCCTGGCTTTGGTTCCTGGTGGCGTCCCCGTAATACCTAATGCCTAATACCCTGGGGCCCTGGGGGGAGTTCTCCAACGCTGCGCGGCCCCTCTTCCCGCCCCGCCCCACCACGCTGGGACTGTGATGCGTGGTTTCCCGGTCCCCCTGTCTGCAAGGTGGCGATCCTGAAGACCTGCGACACCGAGCTCGGCCGGTCGCTCTACCGCGACGTGCGGTTCATGCTGGAGCACCTCTTGCCGCTGCTCAACCGGGTGGACGAGGCGCACGCATGAGGAGTATGAGGAGGAGGAGGAGGAGGAGGGTTCGGATGCGGCAGATGCGGTGAGCCTGAAGTATGATGTATGATGCGGCGAGGATGAGAACGGGGAAGGAATGATGAGGCGGAAGTTGGCACTGGGTGTCTGCGGCCGCGGCCATACGCCGTGGTCCAGGGCCTGGCTCCGTCGGCGAGCCTGCACCCCGCCCCCCGTCCCCCGCCCCCCCCCCCTGGGCCGCTGGGGGGAGGGCCCAGGGAGGGGGGCGCTCTGATAGTCCTGCGGCGCCCCATCCCTCTCGACTCTCGGTCACTCCCCCAAGAGGCGTGCGTCGGCCAGAACGCCACGCCGCACGCTGTGGCTGCAGATCCCGCAGTCGTGGCGGCGTGCCGCCTGGCGAGCAGCATGACGCTGCTGCTGACCATGTTCCGCCCGGCGCCAGCCGCAGCGGACGGCAGCAGCAGTGGCATCCAGCAGGTGCTTTCAAACCGGATGCTTTCCTGCTGCTCTTCCTCCTCCTCCTCCTCCTCCTCCTCCTCCTCCTCCTCCTCCTCCTCCCTCTCTCCCTCCTCCTCCTCCTCCTCCTCCTCCTCCTCCTCCTCCTCCTCCCTCCTCCCTCCTCCTCCTCCTCCTCCCTCCTCCTCCTCCTCCTCTCTCTTCGCCTCTCGCTCCTCCTCCTCCTCCTCCTCTCCTCCTCCTCCTTCCCCTCCTCCTCCTCCCCCTCCTCCTCCTCCTCCTCCTCCTCCTGCCTGGTGGGCCATCAGGCCCTGGGGCCCTGTACTTTTCGGACGCCCCTGGGGCCCAGGGGGCTTCGGAATTCGGGTATCGGTATCGGTATAGCCTATACCGATACCGATACCCGATACGCCCCCCCCTATACCGTATAGGGGGGGGGCGTAGTCCTGGGTCCTGGGCCCTTGCGGCCGTTCGCCGTCGGGTCCCTCGAGGTGGCCGAGACGGTCCGGAAGGTCTCCGCGGTGTTTGCCGCAAAGGGGTGTGGGCTCTTGTCTCCGCACCCTGCGGTCGCGGCGTCCGTGGCGGCGCTGCTGGAGACCGCTGACCGCGCGGCCGCCGATGCCACAGCGGCGGCCGAGGCGCCCGTGGTGGTGGCTCGGAAGCGGGCTCGCCGCGGCAGCGGCAGCTTCGCGAAGAAGGCGCCCGAGCTGGAGGGCGATGCCATCGACGTCGAGTGAGCCAGCTCGGCGCAGGAGGAAGAGAGGATGATATGATGATGATGATGAGGCATAGGGATGTGGAGGAGAGGCGGAGTGATGGCGTGGAGGGGCGGAGGGATGAGGAGAGGCGATCCCCCTCTGGACGCCGCGCGTCATCGTGCTCGCAACGCAACGCAGTGCACCAATTCATCAGACTGGCCCTTGTGGCCGTCCGCGAGGCGGCTAGCCGGCCGCTCCCCAGGCGGCTAGGTGGGGGGGGGAACATTTTTTGTTTTTGGGTGGTACTGGGTGCCTTGGTCCGACCGTGATTCCTGATCCCTGGGGCCTCCCAGAACCTTTCAGGGTCTCGAGCCCGCCCCCGCACCCCCCCTCCCTAAGCCGCTGGTCGCCTTTTAGGCTCGTCTTGGTTCTCGGGGACGGACCTCGACGAGCGGGGCCCATGACCCATGGGTGCGCTCCGCCACGATATCATCGATCCCCGTCGCCGTCGCCGCCGCTGTCCAGGTCCATGGTCTCTCCTCATTCACTCACCACTCCCCCCTCACCCCCGCCACCCCTGCCTCTTCTGACTCAACCCATGTGCCGCCTCTCTCTCTCTCTCCCTCTCTCTCTCTCTCTCTCTCTCCTCTCTCGCTCTCTCGTTCACCCTCTCCCCTTCCCTGCGCTCATCTCCATCTCGGCGCGGTCCTCGCCTCCAGCTGGCAGGGGTGGTGCCGCCAGAGCCGCTTCGGCCTTGAGCCTTGAGCCTGGCCTGTTTGGGACGAGCGGCGACGACGGCGATCGACGGCGACGCGTTCCAAGGCTGACCCCTGTAGGACACCCTACCGCGCGCCTCAGGATCACGTCGAATGTTGATCAGGTATTCCAATGCGAGGGCGTGATTCGTCGTCGGGGCACGTGAGCGCAAGCAAAAATCCAGCATAAAAAAAAA